AAACTGAAAATAAAGAAAAAAGGCATTTAATTTTTTCCCAAAATGTAAGCCTATTGAAATTCAAGGTGTTTCTACCTTTTCAGATGTAACATTTCCAGCTGCCTATTGATAATAAACATTTATGAACAGCAACGGGCCTGGCATGTATAGTTTCTTAGTTATCACATTCAGCACAGATTCTCCAGGGCTGTCAGATGAGCACGTAAGGACCCCAATTCTATAGGGTCTTATACTGGTACTTACATAAAGACATGGCACAGTCCCACTCACCTACAACAAAGCTGGCCACCAAATCTGTGTTCCTGCTCATGGGCAAGAGCTGAACAACACCTGGCTCTGTAAAACCAAATCCACACCGAACAATCCAACCCCTTCATATCCTGTCTACCACAGAAAGCAGCAAACCACGGGAGGTGTTGGTGAATAAAACACACCACGTGAACGCGGTCACTCCTGCAGAAAGAAGTCTCGGTGTAATTCCATTTTAATTTGCTCCCCAAAGATATCCTTACACCAGCACAACTACATCAGCCACACTGGGATATATACAGCAATACACAGCAATAGAGCCAAGAGTGTAAAAGAGTCATTAAGCAACAGCATCCAACTGTATTAACATAATTTGCTTACGTAAAGCTGTCCTCCAACAGCATCTCACTGGAGGCATGGAGATAGGCTTCAAAAGCTGAGGCCCTTTGTCAAGCCTCCAGTAGAACAAGAGTTTTCTCAAGTTAAACAGCAGCAAGATCCCTTTCCTTGAAATGCAGAAGATTCCAGCCCAAGGGAGACAGGGACACAGAGAGCAATAAACACAGCCCAAGCCAAAAGCTGTAGCAAAGCCCAGGACCACAGTGATCCACAGCTACAGAACTCTAAATACCCACATGACAGAAAGCTATTTTATTTAAATACAGAAGACATTTCCAAGCTACATGAGTGCATTCCCACTCACATCGGAGAGCTGAGAAGTTCAAAGTTCAGGCATCCCGAATCCCAAGTTGTGCTTCCTATTCCAGAAACAGGAACCAAACTGCACCTGCAAATGACTTCCATCTCCTTGGCTGTCCCTGCGGATGCAGACAGATGTGCTGCGGCAGAGAATTCCAGATGTGACCAGGGAGGCAGGGGAAGAAGTTTCACAGTGTATTGTACCTCCCCTTACTTGTGCTTCCTGAAGCAGCAATATAAATCACACATTCACTTCATCACCACAAACACTGAAACAAAGGTTTTTGGCTTTTAACTATGAAAAACATTAAAAAGAACTGGTTGCAAAAAGCCAGAAACCACAATTTGGATTGGATTGGAATCACAGAATCCTACGGGTTGGAAGGGACCACAAAAGATCATCTAGTCCAACCCTCCTGCAAGAGCAGGGTAACGCTAATGGATAGGGAACATGAAAAGCATATAAAGGAGAGTGTAGAGGGAGTTAGTGCATTAACTTCATCATTCGAGGATATTGGACTTTCTCTCAAAAGTCCATTTTCTCTAATACAGCACAGCTACAAGAACAGAATGACACTTAGGGTAAGCCCCAGCACCCTGAAGCTCATGGCAGAACACCTGCTTCAGGGAAGGTAAGAGTTTGCATCTGGGATAAACAGCCATGAACCTGATGAGCCCAACACATAAACACATCCCATCAGGACTTGGGTGCCTGCTCCTGTAGATTGCACCACTTGCAGAGATGGATCAAGTGCAGTAACTGCCTGAGTATATGCTCGGAGCCTATGGCCCGTACTGGGTCAACTGTTTCATACTTGCCCCAACTCAGCTGACTGTGAAACTTGGGAAGCAGCAGTTGCTTGATCATGTATAAGAATTTCTAGATACAGACTTGCCCTGCAGAATTTAAACTCTGATTTTATTGCAACAATCAAGTCCAAGGGTTTTATTTTCCTCCCTTATGAAAAAAGCAGTTTCCTGAAGTATGGGTCTGAATTAATACACTGAATATCTTTGCTATCATTGATGGTGTAATTTTATAACAGAGAAAAGTATCCAGCAGCACCGCAGAGAGAACTGGAAGCTGTGTGAAACACAACTGAGAGAGAAAACCAGCTTGCTCTAGGAATCAGTTTGGTGTTCTTATGTGACCAAGGGGAAACAGAGCACCGGAGTGACAGGCCAGCACACTGGTGCTGCTGGCAGGCAGAAGCAGCGTGCTTTTCTTCTACAGTATTTGTAATAGTTACCTTAAACAACAGATTTTGCAGCTCAGAACACTTCAGAAAGAGACTTGTCCCTCTAGTAAACAACAGTGGCGCAGGAGATGTCAACACACTCAGACAAGCTGGACTGGTGGTGCTCCAGCTGTGGAGGCAGTTTGCAGGGCACAGGGCAGGAAGGCAGCACCCACAGCCAACTGCAACAGAGCACAGGCTTAGCACATCCTTTGGTGCAAGACCCAAGCACCACTGCTTAGCTGTATAGCAAAGGGTGCTCAGAGAACGGAAGTGCACTCGAGTGTCTTGAATGTGGTCAGACCAAAGCCTGCTCCTTCCCAGGGCAGAAGGATGTGCAGCAGCTCAGAAGAGGCTGACGTACTGAAAACCACAAGCAGCTCACCCCCCAAACACACACACTACCGCTGATCACTGCCTCTTTCACCCTGCTGTTTCAGAAGAGCTTGGCTCTGAGGCTGTTTATAAGGGCTGTGAAATCACAGGTGCTCACATCTAAAGGGAGCACACTGTGGCGCTGCCTGCTCCTGGAGTCTTCCTGCACAGCCTTCAGGTGTTAATTTGAGCCCCTGCCTTTCATATACAAAAACATGGTGTGGAAAAGGAGGCGGCAGGCATGACTAGTGCAGGCTTGGCTGCACGTCTCTTCTCCCTGTTAAAGGCTGGAAAGCCATCCACACAAAAGGAAGAGAAATGAAAAACATTTCAGGATCAAATTCCTCCTTTAAAAACTCATTACTCTGTAACATACTTCAAGAAGGCCAATAAAGAAAGCAAGAAAGAACAATTCTGACGGAAAATAATTGTTCCCAATAGAAATCAATACTCATGGATTTTTCTGCACTTGTTTCAATACCCATGGACTTTTCTGTGCTTGTTTCAAGAGAAAATGTGCTTATACGGAAAGCTCTATCCTGCTGCCCCTGTTCATGGCAATTCTACGATTCTGCTGGGCATGAAAACCCCGAGCATTGGTCTACTACCAAACTGTAATGGGGCAATAATCAAATGCTGTGTCAAAGTAAACAAGTCTGGATGATCACACAAAAAACTTGACTCCAGAATTCTCAGTGTTTCTAATGAAAAAAAAAAAGCAGCTGACTGCAGGAGACACTAAAACCAGAAGATAAAACCACCAACACGTAACTATGATAACCATTTGTGCAGAAAAAAGGAAGGCTTGTCTCAGTGCCAGGAGAAGAAAGGAGGCATTATTCATAGCTTCAGCATGAAAGTGGAAGATACTTCAGTGCCTGACAGTGAGTGTTTGCGATACGACAGATGGCACTTGTGACTGAGGTGGAAACATCCCTAATGACTCCATCATGGAGACTGCACTTAAATCCATTTTAAAGTTCGTAAGTCACACGCTTTACTGGTTCCTGTAAGAGGTTAGGGCAGTGAATGGTTTTTCAGTGAAAGGAGCTATGGTATCGTCTCTGCTTTCCACAAAGGACTGTGCAAGCCAAATGCTCCTAAAGAGGCAGAAATGCAAAGACCAAGGTCCTGACTGCCAACAACTTTGTAAAACCATTTTTGTGCATGGTTTGGGGTTTTTGAAGCAGCACAGCAGCTGATAATCAAATTACCTACTCAGGGTAATCTTCATCATGTTCTGACTTTTAAACTGGCTCTTCCATCTTGAAAAACCATTATTAAATTGCCAAATTACATGTACAGCAATTAGAGACTTGATGAGACAACCCAACAGCCAAGCTTGCAACCCTCCTAACAGAGGAGTCTAGTGCCATTTTCTTTAAGCAAGGGGAGTAAAAAGTTAAGAATTCTATGGAAATAGGATCAACACCAAAAGTGCTGCTTGAACTTAACTTAAAAGTTTTAAGGAGTCACTTTTTCCTACTGCTTTTGCTTCTTTGGATACTTAAAACAGATACCAAAGGAAATAACTGCAGAACTGGGAGGGGAGCAGTACAATATCCATTTTCACCACCACTTAGTTTTGTACAAAAAAAAAAAGAAATAAGAAAATCACTGAACACCAGCATGGTGATTGCAACTTCAGCAAAAGGCAATTACACCACTGTCTGAAGCTGACTTTTTTCTTCAAGCCTTTTAACGTTTGTCTTGGATAGGTGGGGGGAAAGGGGAACGGAGGGGAAGATGTAACTGAAATCTTAGTAATCCAAGTCCATAGCATGCATACTCTACCTGGCCTCCCTATAGAAGGAGGAGATACCATGACTGGCTGGACTGCTATCTGCGAAGCGACTGCTGTTGTGGCACTGGCTGGAGTGGAGCAGAAGCCTGAAGGTGGAGCAGCATAAATACCTGCTGAGGCTGAGATTGCTGCAGCGTTCACCCATCACCTGGGAAAGAGTCAGAGTAGTCAGGAGACTGCCTCTACAAAGAATTAAAGATTTGCTAAATAAGGATATTTCAGGGCCTCTGGCACTGAGCAGCGTTACCTGCGCTTGTGCTCTTGTTCATTACTCCATGAGAAGACTTTGCCAACATGATGCGCCTGGGCTGCAAGGAGGGCTCAGCTCACACCCACTTCTTGCTGGTTTTGCATGTATGGTGCAAGTTTCTACCAAGGACAAAGCCTGTGCAGACAGTCCTTTGAAAGAATTACAGCTTACATGCACAGATACTCTTAAGTTTTCTTCCTAAACTTATCAGCAAAACCAGAGCTACTGCCTTCCACACCCCATTCTCATGCTGAAATCTTTTGCTACTTTCTCACAGAAGGCTGGAGCAGCTTTACCCCACACAAGACAACTACATCTCTTCAGTCCAGGCTGTTGGATGCCTAGTTGTCAGAAATGTAACCTGCCAGTGATAAATGACCACTCATTTTCATGCGTTCAATGCTTTTATTTTGTGCTCTCAGTGCAGAATACACACCAAGACTACCACCACTTGTGCAACTGCTTCCACAAAACAAATCTTACAAACATAGAGCAATATCCAAGAGATTCAAACGGTATTCTTACTCTTTCAAAAGTAATGAAACCTGTACAGAACAAAATCAGACATAAGAAATATGGCTATTACAAATATGTGACCACTAGTGGGAAAGCAGCATTGATTTGCTGGATCTGAGAAAGCCAATCTCTTTCAAACATTTTCATCCTCCAATGACCACTCACTTCCATGTGTTCAATGCTTTCATTTTGTGCTCTCAGTGCAAAGTAAACACCAAGACTACCATCATTTGTGCAACAGCTTCCAAAAACCAAATCTTACAAACACAGAGCAATATCCAACATATTCAAACAGTATTCTTAGACGTTTCAAGACTCATGAAACCTATACAGAACAAAATTAGACAGAAGAAATACAGCTATCACAATATGTGACCACTAGTGGCAAAGCAGCATTGATTTGCTGAATCTGAGAAAGCCAACCTCTTTCAAACATCCTCTAATGACCCTGTGCCCTATTTTTACCTGCATTTGTAACTGCAGCCTATTTCAGTGACTATGCAAGAACCAGGTGTCTACATGTTCCAGTGCAACCCCTCAGAAGTACAATATTCATTTAGTGATAGCATAGGTTATTACACATACTTTATATAGTCAAACTCAAGCTTTGTGTTCCCTGCACTATTGTTTCTGTACAATCTTTTCCTATGCTTTCCTAAATAATCCACTAAAACATTAAGTCATGTATCACTAGCATAAACCTAAGGAGAGACATGAAATTTGAGTGTAGTTTAATCAACTGACCCAGCCCACTAAGACAAGGTGAGATTTACAAAACAGTATCAACATAGTTGACAAACAAATAAACCAAAGGCAAGAAGTGAGTTTATGGTTCTCTGGTTTACATTCCTTGAGGCACATCATGAGGTGCAGGGTTAGGTGAGGCAATATAGCTCACTTGCTGCGTTGGTCCAGAACTCACAGCATTAGCAATCTGTGGAGAACTTCCATAGGGTGGATTTGCTGGATGCCAGGTACTAACATAGCGATAGGCAGGTACTAAAGAATCAAACCCAGGAAGAGACTGCTGGCTGAAGGGGTCTGACATGACTGGGTAATACACTGACCCGTAGGACAGGGCTGGAGCCTCTCCATTTTGAAAGTTACCTTAAAAAACAGAACAAAATACACACTCTTACTATAACTGTGGCCTGTTTATGCAGAATTTCATTACTATGAAGACAGCATTACTCTGGTGGCCCAAAGGGAAAATCCATTTGGATGACAATTTTATGCCCATAGATGCCCTTCCTAATGGAGGGGTCAAAATCATTTGGGGTCCTAAGTTAGACTAGAGGACAACTTGCTCACAAAACTCTGTTCAAGAGTTGCTTAGTAGCATTCTGCTTTGGAGTGGCAGCTTTTTCAAGGGCTTTGGTAGAGAGCCAGTATCTTCTTCCCTATTTGATCTCTGACCATATGGCATTAATTTATGCAAAAGAACCACTCAAACCGAACAGCATTATCAGAGTAATTAAGTCTTTTTCCTCACTCACTACAATACTCCTTATTTACTGCCAAGCATATCTATAAGCCTTAAGCTGAAATGCTTGCCAAAACTCAGCTTAAAAAATACAGGCATTCTGGTTTGATACCCTGAATATCTGCTCATCAGGAAGCAAAAATGCTCTTCAGAGGTTTCGAAAGAGTTCTGCCAAGTTAAAGTTAGCATACCTGGTACAGGCCTAGAAAGGATTCCTTCTTCCTGTTTATGGCTTTAGAAAGCCCTTGACACCCTGGTGGCTACACCAGTGACTGTGACATACTTCAAAGTACCACAGACGGCAGAGGAACTTGTGATAACCCCTTACAAGGTTTACTCTGACCTCCCAACCTCACTCTTCCCATAGGATAGTAAAGCTGCAGGCAAGCAGCTCTGAGAAATCTATTCCCTCATTCTCATTTGTTGTCTATGTGGTCTTACATTCAAATACTAACCGTTTGCAGCTGCTTCCAAGGGAACCTGGTGGATTCCAGTTCGCCCAGCATCAGTGTAGAGCTGAGGTACTGACTGATCTAGGGCAGGAGCTGGCTCAGTATATGATGGATAAACTTCCACGGGTGACGGGGGCAGCACTGGCTCTACATACATCATGGGAGGCCAATAGCTCTGATGGTAATACTTTGAGAAAAGGAAAAATGATACAAGGTCACTCATACAACCACAAACTCTCCATTGCTCTTCCAAATCACTGCTAGCTTCAGATCTGAAGTTAGAAAGAAGTACATTTCTTCCTTTCTAGACCCTTAAGACACTACACATGCCAAACACCTCAATACAGCATACCAGAAAAGACACTGCAATACCTGCAGCAATAGCCACCTCACACATTGTTGTGTCAGAAAGCTCTACAGAGAGACAAGATTCCCCCCTATCAACTTTGTCACAAACAGATTTTTTCCTATTTCTTCAGCTGCAGAAGCTGACATGACTTCCTCTACTTTCCTGAGCAGCAGCACTGACACAGTATATGCCTGCTGGTGCAAAGACAACTCTTCAGCACAGCAAGAGCTCCCAGAACACAGGCAAGTTGTGCTAACCAGTCTGAACACAGTTGTACAAGTCCTAAAAGACTCAAAACACGCATCTCTACATGGCCTTTGATGTCTTGTCTAAGTACACATTTTCTTAAGAATGCCTGAGGTTCCTTCCCTTGCATCTTCATGGAAGAACAGTACTTATCCACCATTCTCTGCAAAAACAAAAGCGAAAACAAAAACCACCACCATAATCTAAGGTAAAACAACTGAACATGCATGCTAGTGTGCTTCACATTTTGAGTTACAGCTTCACGTCCTGAGCTATACTTTTATCTCCACCAAACAAGCCTGTATGTTTTAAGTCAGGCGTGCAGGGCGTGCATTTAGCACACCTGGAAATCTCAAATACATCAGTGCATTTGTCAAGAAAATCAGCAGGTTTTACAGGCAATTTACTGTACATTTTAAAAGCACTTACTTGCAATCCCAGATTAAAATAATACCGCAAGACCTTTGCATCTGAAATTAAAGGACGTGACATTAAAGAACGAAAAAGTACAAACTGAGAAGCAGAAGAAATTTATGCACATTAAGAGCATTTTATTTTAAGTTACTCTTACTTAAGATCTTCTGACCTAGTTTTGAAGGTCCTCCCAAACTGCTGTATCAAGTCAGAAAATTGGGGGGGGGGAGTTAAGGATTATGTTAATTCCTTCCCTTTCCACACAAGGGTGCTCCATTCCCTGCTTTCTTGCAAGTAGTCTTTTACTTGTTTTCCATGTACTGAATAATTTGCCCCCAGGCAAATACATAATATACTGAGAAGGAATCACAGATGTGTGAAGGAACTTTGAAACCACACTCCAAGAACAGCAGGGGTCTGAACTTGGAAACACACTTCCAACTGTCCAAAACTGAAGCAGTTTTAAACCTTTAAAGCTTGAGCACTGAAAAGAAAAGAAACGTACATTTTAATCCCGTGATGCAGTTCTGGAACTGTGCAGTTCTCAGAAAAACTGTTGATTTCTCAGATTCAGATACAGATTTGTTTTAAAGGCTCAGGAAAAGCAAGTCACTTCTTCGACAGCAGTAGGTCTGCATGTGAGTGCATGCACACAGACTTTGCTTTAGTACCACTGGACACTGAAAGGGAAACCAGGGAGACAGCTCCAAAGGACCAAGCCACAAAGAACTTCAACTTGACAACACCTCCAGAGTTACCACATACACCATCTTGTCACTTCCTACCTAGATCAGGGCCTTGGCTCCACATTTCTGCGCTGTCCACCCATCCAACACACACACCAACCCTGCATGTTGCATTTTGCTGCAGGCAAGCACAGCATCAGAAATGCAAACCCCAACCTTGAAATACACAGGATTTGTTGCTTCATTGCTGTTGCCAATTCTCAACTCTTTTCACTGCTCAGCACATTGGATCAGGGCAACAATTCATGCAGTTATTTTAGGAAGTGTGCACAGGTCCTTCCTTACATCTAACAGCATTAAGCTTAACTCCCCAAAGTGCTGGTGATTTGGCTGTGACATTGACCACAGCCAGCAAACATTATAAATAAGCCTCACATAAATGCCTATTTTTTTTAGTGTCCAGCTAAAACTGCATCTACGTTTGGAACAAGTTGTTGGTGGATTTTTTAACCTGATTTTGTTCTTCAATTGTTTATGCAAATCTATGCAAAAGAAGCCTAAGAGTGCAATGAAACAGCTGCTTCATAGCAGCGATAACAGTACAAAGGAAGAGCGGGGAGACTGAAGTGACAAACTGATACTGGAAATACTGACGTCTGTGGAATGCTGGAACAGAAGCCAGGACAGCAGGAGACCAGTTTTTGTTTATATTCCTCTTTCAGATGTCTAGAAATCAAGTCAATCTTCACTAAAACATGACTACCTTATGAAGCAATAACTACCTACTCTGAGATGGAAACATGAAGACCATGTTGAAGGCTGAAAAACCTCATCTTAGATGCAAGCAGGACAAAAACCATGACAGAATTTTTGCTGTGCTGATGGGAAGCTTTGGTCAGTCCTGAACACTACTGCAGTCTCTGGAGCACAGTAATATCAAGCAGTCTTTTACCAACAGCTCCTTCAAATACAAACACAAGAGAGTAGATAAGGCGTGGACATCTAAGGTCACCACATTAATAAACATGTTTCAAAAGCCCTAAGCACCACTAAAAGAAGATCCAAGAGATGAAGACTGGAACAAATCCAAATGTACCAAGTAATACTAAGGCACACAGTAGGTTTTCCTCCCAGGCCCAGGATTTAACTCTGTTGACAAGTCACACTCCCCATCTATACCAGGCCTGCAAGTATCTTCAGCAAAGCACACAGAACTCTAGGTCAAGTGTACCAACATACTCTGTACTACAGTCCAAAGCTTCTGGATTTCTGAACTTAAAAAGCCATATGTATTATCCTGCAGCAGTGTGACAACGTAACTGCTACATACAACGACTTATTAACTACCAACCTTAAAATCCTTTGGAAAAAAAAAAGGCTTCCAGAGTTTATGCCAAAAAGAACATGGCCAGTATCAAACGGAGTGACTCAACTGAAGAGCCACAGGCAGGGCCTGAAGAGGTTATTAATCCACATCCACTCCAGATTCTTGTCAGCCCACTTAACACCCAATTCTCCCAAGTGCCAGAAGCCTCAGTTAAGGGCATTCAACTAAAGCTGAAAAACACTAACCCTGATGTGTGCATGGTATCATCTAGAGCAGTACTGCTGCAGCAGGGACTTGGAAAACTGAATATTCAAGACTAACACCAGCAGGAACTCAGAGCAGGGGCAAGAAAGCAGAGCTCCTGCAGAGCACACAGGTGGTACCTGTGAAAGCAGCAGGCCTTTGAGCAGCCTCACCACAGTGTTTTGGGACCTGCCAACTTCTGACAAGCACATCACATGGTAAATGCAACTGAAAGAATCCATAGTTTTTCAGCCCAGTTATTCTGCAATCTACCAGATGTAGATACCTGCACTGTAGATATCAAGAGCAGCTCTTTATCTTACCTGAATTTAGCCCTCTAGGATTAGTAAATCGAAGAAAGCCCCACACAGGGTCAATAGAGCCAAGTTAGATGGCAACACATTGAATCTAACATAAAAACAATTTGCATTACTGAATTATTTCATGGTCTATCTTAAAGTAATAGATTTCAGAATAAAAGCCAGAGGCTTTCATTGCATCATTCTGATGCAGTGAAAGCTACAACTGGCAGATAGCTAAAATTCAGTCTGTTACAAGGATGAGTTTTTTTTTGGGAGGGAGCTGGGGAAGAAATCAAGTCAGACAGTGATAGTGAAATTACACTTTTCAAAAGAGTTCAAAAAGGAACACCTGGATTTTACAATCACTACAGATATGCAGCCAGTTCCTTCCCTTGCTCGCCCCCGAATGAGCAGCTACTCTCTACACTAGAGAACATGGTAGGTTCAGGAACTCGAACTAAAGGTGGTAAGTCTGATAAAATCCCGTCATCTGCTCTATCTACAGCTATTAGAACAAGCCAGCTATGATGCAGACTTTCAGTGTATAGAGGACATTAAAAAAACCTGTGTACTTTAACCAGCGTGCAGAGATACATCAACTACTTGATCAACAAAATCATGAACAGCCAGTTTTGGACTGCTGCTCTTAAGGATAGGCTACAGCTTATCTGCCTCTTGAGATGTGTGCAATGATGCAACAGTGGCACACTTGGGCCTTACAGCATTCCTCATCTAGAGAAAAATAAGTTATGTAGCTTAACAGCAAGCAGCACCATTTTTCCTGTAGCTGAGGCACTTAGCTTGATCTCTGGGTTATCAGAGAAAGCTCTGTGAATTACAGGCTCTATTTAGGACTTGTGAACCATAAAAATGAGAGAATAAAGGGATAAATTAATAACAAAAACATCAAGTGTAACAGTGCCGTTGCATAGCTTAGCAAGCTCAGCTGTCTGATGTAATCAGTATGCGGATTTCTTATATTGTAAGAGCAAACTGACTAAAGATTACCACTTTCAAAATGAAGTCCATCTTCAGCTGATAAAGCCAAAAGTTGTTTCTGAGCTGCCCTGCCGGTAGGTGCTATGCTGGTTTTTGCATGCTCACTGCTTAACAGCCAAAATACACTTTCAACACAATCCTAACTGGTAACAGTACATGAGAAGGCTATGCACACGTGGAACAACATGACCCTGCATTTTATCCCCCATTTATACCACCACAGAATGACTTCTTGGACCTGTACAGGAGAACACTGCAATATGCCACTCAACTATGCAACAGTATGACTATAAGGAAACTGTTTGGTTTTTTTTTTTAAATCAGCTATCAGCCAAACGATTCCTCCACCAAGAACCAGCACAATACAGGCCAAGCACCCCCTGCCTTGGTATTCATTTCTTTAGATGCTGTTTAAGGCTGTGGTAATCACATACTTGAGTCAGACATGAACTTGCTATACAGAACTGGAAATGAAATTGGTTTTAGCATAAGCATCCATAACATTATTTCTCACTCCCTGCAAACTGCCAAGAGCCATTTCTTCTCACTATAGGTATTCTGTGAAGTTTCCATGGAGAACACGAGTCAGAAGCATGCTGAAGAGCAGCAGCAGTAAAAGCACAAAATACTGTCATTACCTTGAGGCAGATCACTGCCATTGGGATCACAAGAGTAAGGTGGAAGAACGGCACCAGCTTCTCCCACCTCACTGACTGGAGGAAGAGGGGCTGAATAAATTGGCAATGGCACCAAAGAAACTGCTACAATTAGAAGGAAACAAAAGTCAGCTTTGCAATGGCACGTCAAATGAGCGAGATGCTAAGTCACACGATTCAGCACGCACTTCTTCCTCATCTCAGTGCCCCTCAGTACAAACTTTAACAAAGTTCTCCTTAGTAATCACTTTAAAAGAAATCCAAAACTTTTAAAACCAGACGGGAAGGTTCCAGTCTCACAAGCCTGAACTGTATGTCTGTGTGCAAGCTTCATGTAACTAAGCAGAGGAGCAAAATAAGGGCCACAAAAAACATATTGGGCATTTGTGTGGATCCTGAACCATGGCAGCCAGAGACTCTTTTGGAAGGGACAGTAAAGCCTCAGGACCAGCATCTTAACTCAAGATGATAATTAACTGTAGGAAACTGGGGAGAAGGGAGCTGCCAGGAACTTCTGCCTTCTGAAAAGAGCTGTCTAGCACAACCCTTGGCATTGGTGGCTAAAGGTGGTGAAGGGGGAACCCAAATCAGATACCTCCAGTTCCCATGCAAATTCAGAGGCAACTGTATCCTTCAAAACACAAAAGCAAGAAGTGAGCAGTGAAGTTAAAACTAATACTAAGTCATTTTAAGCCAAAGCAAGTGATCCATAAACCTCAGACATCCAAGTCCACAGATGTAGCATGCACACTCTACCTGGCCTCCCTATAGAAGGGGGAGATACCACAACCGGCTGGCCTGCTGTTTGTGGGGGAACTGGTGTTGTGGCACTTGCTGGACTGGAGGCAACAGAATTTGAGGAGAAACCTGTAGCTGGAGCAGCATAAACAGCTGTAGAGGTTGAGATAGCTGCAGAATTCACCATCACCTGGAAAAGAGTCAGAGTACTCACAGACAACTTGCTTTGACAAAGATTATAGAAACGTCACATACTTGGAAAATACTCACTTCACATAAATGCATCTTGGAAGTCCTAGCTGTAAGGCAGCTAGCTATCCAAGTTCTCTAAAAATTGGCTTGAAAATACCAGCTGCAAAGCATCTTCTCACCCTTCTACAAGAAGCTATGAAGGGGCAGGTAAAGGGAACCCATCTACTGGCACTAACTGAGCAGAGTGGTTGCCTCTTCACAGGGCTACCACATAAAAGTACTAGATACTACCTTCTGGGGACAGCTGTGGGAAGCCACTCCATCTTGAGGTGACACAGAGACTGCCCCTTCTTCCTGAAGGGATTCCAAAGCAAAGCATGGTCCATTTAAGAGGCAAAAGAAGTCCCAAGGCACACACACTATACCTCTATTTTTAAAGGTTTATTTATGGACTATATACACACACAGGGCATCTTTGGTAACTTGGGCAAAAGCAGTTTTATTCTGACAAGCACAGGACTGGCTTTCACACCACTGCAGACCAGCAGGTGACTAAAGAGTTAGTTTCAGACTACAAAAAATAAGAATTCCACAATCAGGTCTATCAGAGGTGACATCTCTCCAGTCCCACAGTGGAGGAGTAAGACTGACTGCAATAGGACTTGAAGGGTAGCATGATAAAAGCAAGTGCTGTCAGGAGCAGAAAAAGTAAACAGCACTCAACTACACACTTTCTCTCTGCAAAGGGGAAAGTGGAAAATCATTAATTATCCTGTGCAATGCAGACTGTATTTGCAGACTCAGATAAAACCCTCAATATTTAGGGAGGAAAGAGGTGTGTGTTTGTGTGAATACATAAATAAAACCACCATTCCCTTCTTTCAAAAGAGGTCTCTGACCTACTATGTTATGCCTGGATCCAAGGACATTTTCTATGAAGAATGCCACACACTTCAGGGATTTGTAATCTGAACAGCCAGTGACTAAAGCTTACCAAGTTTTCCGTAGGCTCTGCTGAACTAAATACTGTTGCAGTGTCACAGTCAGGATCTGGAGGGCATTGGCAAAATTAATTGAAAAAAAAGCAGCATTAAATCTAATGCTTCAGAAAAAGATCATAATGAGTGCATTACAGTCAGCAAGCATCCTAGCAGTAAACACTCAAGTTTTACTAACCTGGAGATGCATACATATATTCATCATGGAATTTCCCTACAAGGGAAAGAACAAGATGCTTTGATTCAAAGGGAAAAAGAAAACAGAAAAGAAAAAAAGCTTAAAGCTGAAGTTACCAGAATTACATGTCAGCGTACCCATTAATGAGCTGCTTTCAGGATCATCATCTTTTGTGCAGGAAAGATATAAAAACTCTCAAGATATGCTCATTTTGTTATTCGACCAAGTATTAAGGTTGCCATTACCAAGTTTATACCATGCACTCATGCATTTTTTGGCAGCAACATGGCCTGCTGCAGACCTACCTAATCACAAAGGTGACAGCATAGCAAGCTCAAACAGAAGTAACAGTTCTAGCAGACAAAGAAAAATACTGTGCTCACACAGGTTTAAAGCTCCTAAAAAACAGATCTTTAGGAGATGCAAGGTACCTACTTTGACAATTTGAAGATCTTCTAAACATTGTCTTTTCTGTTTACCCAACTAATCCTTTAAGGACTCACCACTTTCACTTGCTTCTTCCTCCTCACAGGAATTCAGGATCTGCTTGTTAGGCACATCTGAGTTTGGGCCTCTCCTTGCTACCCAGAATCCTGCTGTACCATGGATAATGGGACCAGGGCTACCCTGGCTCTAAAGAGCAAAATCAAAAGCATGCATTTAGAAATAGTTTAAACCCTTTCCATGCTCTACACACACACACACAGTAGAAACAGGCTAGCAGGCCGAGACTGCTGCAACCAAATCTTACTAGAATTACCGTATGTGTGCCCATTCCTATGCACTTTGATTGCAGCAAAATGGTTACTGACACATTTCTTGCCTTTACCTTTGGTTTTGCCTAGTATACTTCAGGTAATTCACTTTGAAGACCTACCACTGCCCTATGCCATACAGTCAAGTTGTTCCCTCCCAGAACATAGCCAGCTTTATCTCAAGCTCAAAGCTCAAAAGGAATGAGCAGTCCCCAGACAACAGCCAACAAAGACTCCCGTTTTCCTCATGCTGGAGCATTCCCACCACACCACCACCACATCAGTGCATCCACTACACTAATTGCATGGGAAAAGGTTTTCTTTAGTCACAGTTGGCAAATGCAAGTCTGACTCTTTCAAAAAGCAGCACCCATTCAGGTTTCCCACAGGACTCCTTAACACTTCACACAACATTGTGCTGAAGTCAGTCCTTAAGCTGCACCAAAATTTAAAAGATAGAGTTCTCTGAAGCAGGAATCTAGATGTTCAAGAAGTTGATTCACTCTTTTGTGATGGCTAAGGTGACACCCAACATTCTCCTCAGAAGATATGGTGACTATGAGATCGATAAAAGTGCTCAGAGAGGCTTGTAAGATTTCCAAGGTTGAAGCAGAGGTGGTTAAGTCAGAAGATTCTCCCACCAGGCCTCTAGTAGGATGGCAGAGTTTTCTGTGATGTGCATCTTTCCCCAGGAAATGTTTTATTCCTTGACTAAACAAGACAAGGGAGAGACAGAGAAAAGGCTTTGGCATTGACAGTACAAAGTCACTGAATGAACATGAAAATCTATTCATTAGGAGCTGCAGATATATAGTCTATCAAGGGGATGAAAAGCTAGTGAGCTGTATTGATTTTGTGGTGGGGGAAAAAAAATGCCCCACCACTGCAGGATAATCTGTCCTTATGGCTCAACACTCTTGGAAGAAAAATCAGAGCAAAGATTACAGATCTAGCACATGAGGAAAAACTAAACAATGGCTGCTGCTGGAACAGCCGTGGGCAGACTCCCTCTCTCTCATTCAAATGCATGTCTAACATTCACTAAGGTCACTGCTTCAACACAGTAAAAATTCAAACCTACTAGAGTTTTTCTTAAAAAAAAAAAAGAAAAAAAAGAAAATTTCTGCTTTCCTCATCAGCTACCTAAATATCAATTGATTCTTTGTAGCATATCCAACTTTGTACTAGGGTTAGACTACAAATAAAAGACTTACTTTAAAGTTTAAGACTACACTGAGCCACTTTACTATCTCACAGAAAGACTGCTTTAGAAGAAGTCTGTATCTGGAATTTTCTCCTGTTTCTGTAGCAGAAGAAATGGTTTCAGGAACAACATGTTAGCCCCAAAACATCACAAATACAAATTTACAGGCACAATCCAGGCTATCACTATCTAGTTAGACAAATGATAAATTAATGTGGCAAACAAATGAACAGCTTTCTCCCACACTATTTAGAGACAGACATCCACAGGAAGAAGGAATTTTCTTTGTTTAGTTTTCAAACTGCAATGGAAAGGAGAAATATTACCCTACTTCTATGAAAATACACTAAAGAGAAAAATGCTGCTGGTGAGGGGAGGGAGAAAGAAGTGGAATATTCAGAAAAAAAAAGGTTTCAAGCAGGGCTTTTTTTTACAGATCTAGACTCATTTCAGCTATTCCTTCTTGAACACATTCACTGCTACAGCTTATTCCAAGGCAAAAGAAAAAACAACAAAACAAACCTGCTGTGTACTTAGGTAAACAAGTGCTGGTACAGCTCCCAACTCTTTGAGAGATATTAACATATCCTTTGTTAGTAACTTACTGGCAAAGCAGGAAAAGCAGTGTTATCCTCTCCTTCTATTTCATAGAAAGTTATAGTTTCTTCTGGTCCTTGAGGCTGCTCTCCATTCCCTGGCACAAACCCATACTGACACTCCTTATTCACACACTGCATTCGACGGCAGCTACGGCTGTATGAACTTTAAAAACAAGGAAGGAGATTAAGAACTGCCACCATCTGGAGTTTCACCTTCGTTTCATTGCTCAATTTTACTCGGTGCTTTTTGGAGAGGCACAATAAACCCACTGTTTCGTACTGCGCCACTAACAGCCAACACAGCTCTCCATGTGCCACCATCCTCCCCAGCTCTTTTAGAGCAAGATTTTGTGAAGATGTTTATATTCACTTACCAGGACCTGCAGGAGAAATTGCCATAGCTCTGATAGCACCTCTTTCCTGGACTGGGGCAGAATGCTATTTGAGGGCCAACCATGTTGTGCCTGTTTATAAATCGGGCAGATCCCCTAAGTTTAAAGGGTAAAAGATGCAATTACCAGGAAGTGCTTCTTCAGATGGAACTCATTTGCAGATTTACCTACTAAATAGCACAAACTCTCTCCTAACTAGTCTGCAGCAAGAATGGATAGAAAATGAGTGACGATCTCAGACAGGTTTTCAAGGCTGCATACCTTGACATCCCAAATCCACGGTTATGTCTCTGAGGAGTGTTCTGAGGATGATAGGGTTCATAAGGTGGCATGTTCCCACCACCCTGCGAGCTACGAAGTGGAGTGGAGTGCCCCGAAGAAATGCCATGCTGTAGCCGGGGTGGAAGACCTGCCTGACCCCTGCTGTAAGAAACGGTCATAAAAACTTCCTTTCCACGGATTTTCTTAGGCAGTTTCTTCCGTGTCTTTGCATCCATTTCTGCAGTTTCAGTTGAGGACAGAAAAAAAAAAAAAGAAATTTACACCTTAAACACCTGACTCCAGAGCTTCGTTCTCTTTATCAGTTGAGAAGTGTCAATATTTGGACACTCAGAAAACAGTCAACAGCCTATCGCAGAAGAATGCATTTTAAGTATACCCTTATTTTGAAGGCTCTAGGGGGTATTCTAAGTTCTGAGCAGAATGCAAACATCTCACATGTGAATGCCTTCCAAATTCAGCTGATCAAACCAGTGTTCACCAGTGTTAAAATCCCTTTATGAAATCAAACAAATATAGTCCATATTTATTAGCTGGGGAAGCTCTCATCTACCCATTCTCCTCTGCTATGATCAAACCAAACAAGCTGCTTGATTCACAGACCCAATCTCTGTATCTTTTTTTTAAGTGTGAAATTTCTCCTTGGTAATTTCGAGCAACACACTTTGCTGTGTATTTTCAATGCATTTCTTCCTTTGCAAAGACAAATTCATCCCTCTGTCTAAAGGGTCACTTTACATCAAACCCCTGTAGTGAACAAGTTTTATATCACAGCCTTAAGTCACTTCCAGTGTCCAAAGACTGCTACTGTTAAAACTGCCATGAGCTTCTTCCCCACTTCCCCCTGGCTACAAGGAAAGGAATATTGTAGAAACCTTGTACAAACCTATTCCTGAGAAGCATCCACCTGATATTTTCTGATATGTTCCTCCTTTTCTGGTGGAAACCATATTCCAAGCAAGGACAGGTGCTACTTGTGTCACTGGTTTCAAGTTTGTCAAAGGAACTGCATGCCTGCAGGAAGAATACTGATGTTGGCGCCACAAGGATATAATATGTATAACTGCACAACAACGTAAGACAGGAGAGAACAGAAAAACCCACAAACGGGACTGTAGGGAGCTTGGGGAAATAAAGAAAAAATAAATCATCTCTTTCCCTGACAACAAGCACACAATTGTTACTTATTTATTAAACAAGGCAAGCCAGGATTTACGCTCAACACACTGATTTCCCGGTCAAGACTTTGTTCCCTGCACATGTATGCCTATAGAGCTACATCTGAAAGCATGTGACAACACAGGATTTCTGCAGTATGTCATCAAGCTGAATTCTAAGTTTACCCAGAATTCTTGGAGGAAGGTGAATGCTTTGAACAGCAAGGTAGAGGAAGTGATCAGACCCACCAGAAGTGCCAATTATTCAGTTGTTTCAGTACAACGTAAGAACTCCAGAGAAACCAACACCAGAGGGCAATCTGCTTGCTATTCATGAATTAAACCCAAAGTGCAAAAATCATTTCCATCTTTCAGAGAAGAGCAAGCAGCAAGATTTCACAGAATGCATTACAATAACGATTTTGGTCATTAGAAATGGCACTCCTGAAACACTGCCTTTGAGGGGTGATAGCCAACAAGGAAGCAAAGCTTCACTTTGTATTTGAAAGCCTAGGTTCTCTTTTCAAACTATCTTAACAACCCTGTTTAAAGCCTCTGTGAATACATAAACTCAACCAGAAAGAGCTTAAACACAAAGTGTCACCAGGCTGCTTACTTTTCTGCCAACTCCTCAACGAATACAGTCAAGGTGTCACCATCTTGTCCGACTTCCTGGATATGAGCATTGTAATACTTACCTCCAGGCTCCAGACGTACCTGAAGAGAGAAAAGGGAAGCTCTAAAATAGCTAAACTCTACCAGGGGATTTAGAATACTATCTGCAAACAGCTGATAGCAAAGCCTGCTCCTAAATGATCCTATGTTGGCTCAGGAGTCTCAAATACTTCTCCAAAATAGCAGGCAAAATAAAGAGCACTATACTAACTTCAGGAAGAGAAAACCAATCTTCTTATAAGTAACTGAGAGGTAAAATGCCCGCTTTTTTTACTTATTTTTATACACTGTGCCAAGCAGATAAGCATCAAGGAAGACTGTTATTTAAGAACTCAAGGAGAAGAGAAGATAAAACAGGAAACTGGAAAGGAAAGCTCTGCTCAGCTAGAAGCAAGTCATTGAGTGAATCATCAGGACTACCTCAAACAGTGATAAAAAAATAAGCCCTCACTACATACATTAGAATACAAAGAAAGCTGACCTTCCTTTCAGCATTTCCAGACCAGATCATGCTACTCTGACTGTCCAGGCTTGCTGTTAACCCCCAGCGAAAATCTAACAGACAACTAGCTCCAAGGCACACTCAGGGCATTTTGAGCTCTTGGTCTGGAATCTCCACACTCACAGAATGTGCATCAAATTCCCGTTTGCAAGGAATTTCCAAGGAGCTTTTCCTTCATGCTACCCAATGTTTAAAGATTTTAGAAAGAGATTAAATCAAAAAGGAAGTCAGATTAATAGCTACAAGGAAGAGAATGAGAAAAGCCTTGGAAAATTCTATGAAGCCAAATTATTTTAAGGCTTACCATACTCCATTTAAAGAAGTTTTAATAGTTCATCGTAACTGAGTCTCCTTTGTGTACTAACCTGACACTTGTCTCCTAAATAGTACTGTCTCCCAGCAAACACCATGTAGTCAGTTTTTTGAAGCTCTAAAAATAAATGGATAATAAAAAAAAGGAAAAAGCCTTTAAACTACTGTTCTTTCTTCATGTATCCTACAAGTACGTCACGACAGCATCCAACTACAAGTTACAGGCCAATTAAGTACTTCCTATGCATACTTGAACATTCCCCATAGTAATGGTGAAATAACTATAGATGTTCCTAGAACAGACCCTAACCAAGTTAAATCACAGGACATCACTAATATCCAGATAATGCAGTAAGTAGCACTGCTACTTCAAAACTACAGTGCCTTTTGCAAGTTAATCCTGCATTTAATAAAAATCCTGGCATTAAGAATGTTGAACATGTCTTGTCTTGCCACAGTACTGGTGGCACTTGGCAAAACTGAGATGTTATCCAGTAAAAGCTAACGTTGCCTAAAGTCTCATTGCTGCTGGATGTCAATAGTTTTTCAATATTCCTTGCCTGGATTCTCTGCACACCAGTACGCTACATAGATAATTAGTTACTATACCCTGTTCCAAGAATTTTAATGACCCTCTACTGCTTATGCAGCTGTAAAATGCTGAAGCCCTTCAGTATGCAAAGCACTTTGGGTCAGACATTAAATGCCATTTCAAAACTTGTCTCTCTCAGTAACTTCTTTCTTTATGGATCAGCCACAGTGTATCCCAAAGAACAGCAACCTATCTCAATCCACAAAGACCATGAAATCTTTCCAGAAAGTTCAAGCCCAGGAGAGCTGGGAAGCAAGACAAAACTCATCTCATTTGACAGATCTCAATGCTAAATTTGAGATCATTATTGTACATCTCTGAAGCCAAAATCATGCTTAAAAAAGCAGAAGTCCTTGCACACATGCTGCAACAAAAACCTCCCAAATTTGAATGATGTCCAATACAACATTCTGCATTCTGCTTTGAGTCCTCGCATTTCCCATACTGTAGTCAGTAAGTATCAAAGGCCAGATTTTTGGCAACCTTGTAACCACTGTACAGTGTCAGCAGCAGTGTATTTCATATTTTGAAAGGAAGCCAAGAAACCAGCTACTAGCAAGATGTACTATCTACAAGTATTTGCTGGGTTAACCAGGATCCCTCACATTTCAGTTGTGAAGAATCAGCTTCTCTGACAAATTTAACACTGAGCCTAGTACAGAGAGCCTTCTAGTTTTTCTTTTTTAAAGATACCTTTTCTGCTGTCCAGCCAAACATCAAACTCCACATTTCGATAGATCCCAGGGTCCAGAGCCTTTAGTACTTTATAAGGAACAGGCATCTTTGATGGATTTTCCAGATGCTAAAAAGAGAGTTGAAACAAGTGCATTTAGTGTGCTCAGCATGGTCTCCACCCTGCTAGCATCTATGGAACACTTTAAAATGTACAAATGCCATTTTCCAAGACTTTCACTTCTGCTGTATTTTCCTAAAAACTAAACCTTAAGAATATGAAAACACATTTAACCATTCAGAAGCTGAGCAAAAAGACTTGGGAAGGTTAGAAACAAGCTCAAAACTAACATTTAACACGTTCTTTACTCGGAAAGAATCAAAGGAAACCAACTAGACCAATGAAATCATAGTTTCAGATGTTGGTGGGAGTTTCAGTTATTATATCTGAAAACATGTTTCTACAGAGTTTCTCAAACTGTTCTAGAGTGATTTATACTGTGTTCAAACAAAAGTGAGCCAATTTAAACCACTTCTAGGAAAAGCAAACAGCAGACCAGAAAACATCTATAAGCTCCATCTTTGAAGGGATATTAGCTAAAGAACAAGAGAACATCAGAAAGGAAAAAGGCTTATCCAATTTAATAGAAACTTAGGGGCAAAACCAAGTGACAAGCAGATGTTAAAAATAAGCCACCCACTTTCCACAATGTCATTTTACAACGTGGAAAAGAAGGTATAGCCCTAACAAGGGTAATGTCATACAACAACAGCAACAAAAAGAACACACCATAAGGAACTCTTTCCTAACTGACAAACCTTTTCTTCTTCAATGCCTTGTTTGAACTTATCTTCCTGTGGATTGTCAGTCTCATTGCCTTCCCAGTCGTTCAGTCTAAGCAATTGAAAATAAGATTACAAAAGATACAATGCACAATTTCTAACCAGGATTAAAATCAACCAACTGTACACACAACCTGAAAAAGCACTATGGTGCCATCAAGTGGTAGATTTTTGCCTTAAACACAAGCCACGGCTACGATAGGGTACAGGACAACCCTTTCCCTGATTTCATCTTTACTTGTTCCAACACCCATCCCTAATGGGGGCTACTGCTTGCATTAAGAAACGATGAAGATGATTCCACTGACTGATTAAACTCTTGCACTGCCAAGTTTAAGAAGTCACCCTAAATCCTATCAAACCAATGTCATCTGCAAGCATTCAGATGCAACCCTTGCAACCCTGCAAGCCTTTCTAATGACTTGAGCAACACAGGATATGAGGGTTTCTATAGTGACATCCTGCCTGTTCCTCTTGTCCACAGTGATCCAACAGACTTGAATGAGTCCACTTTATTACTTGAGGTATGATTCCATCCAAAAGAGGACAAAGTCAAGCAGAGCTGATTTTCTCAATACATTAATTCCTCTGCAGAGTGACAGAGGCTTAGAAGGATAATAACAGGTTTTCACTAAAATTCTGATCACAAAGATCAATTTTATTTACAAATAAGCTGTCATTTTACAGAGTAACACACAACTATAACATAGCCAGCAGCATAGGCTTTTCAGTTACATGATACTTCCCAGCCCCAAGGAAAGCACATTCTCTTCCACAATATATTTCAGCTTTGTGTTTGCGCCACAGGATAGATAAAAGAGTTAATAACCCATAAACACTGGAAAAAAAACCTTGAAAAAATTGCTCTTTGCAAGATTTTTAAAGGGTTTTTTCCTTCCCTTTCACCATATTCCCCTCCCAAAACACTACCTCTTTTCTGATGGATTTCTGGATACTTTTTCATGAAGACAATCAAAGTTTGCATCCTCACTTGCCACAGAGACATTGTTTCTGTTCTTCTTGGATCCACTTCGAAACATCTCCACTGCAGACTTTAATTCTTCCTCATCCATGCCAAACACATCCTTGTACAGGATCTCATATAATACAGCTGAACAAATCAACACAAAGCTCAAACCAAATTAAGGTAACACCAGAACAGTAAGAACTGCTGCAAGTTTCAAGGTAAGCGTATCTTCATATATTATCTATTGTTACAAAGCACTTGTTATATTACATTCAGTTAATGAGAGAACCATAAAATAATTCAGGTGGGAAGAAGGGACCTCTGGAAGTCATTTGGTCCAATACCCCACTTAACAGCTAGAATAACAAGCGTACATTAATATACAATAAATGAGCTTCCATCCTTCTCCACTGCACCTCTGAAAACCAAAGCAAACACTGCCTATAAACATATGAAAACACCTAATTTTCTTCCATAGGAAAAGGATTTCAAAATTACCCTGGCAAATAGCAGCAGTTTCCTGGAACTGTTTTGTATACACAGAGTCATAATGGCCATTGCCTGAACAACACAGCAAAACCTGGGAAAAGAAAACACAGTTTAAGTCCGGAATGATGTAAAACTTAACTGTGTTCGAAATCCTAGCTCAAGACCACATAATTCTTTTTCATTCTACAGTCAATACCAGCTCATCTAAACCCAATAAATACTCTAAATATGAAAAAGGTGTAGAATCAGCTTAAAAACTGAATCCTAGTAAACTATCTAAATAAATTTGTCTATTATACCAAGGAAAACTATCAATTTGTACATCATGCTGCATTAAACATGAAATAATTGGTTTCCAACCTACCTCTGAAACCACCAAGTGCTCAAGAGGTAAAATAAATACAAGCTATTAAATTCAGTACCCCAATACACACTGCCCAAGCAACAAAGGCACATTTCGCTGTTCCCTGCCTGAGGGACTAGAAAAGCATCTACTTCTCCAGCCCTCAGCAAATCCCTGCTTTTAGAGATACTACGTTGTCCTTTTGCTTTCTGCAACATATGCACTGACATCCCACATAAACATACACCATCAAACCTCATCTTGCCATATGATCACAACTAGCAAAAGCCCAGGCTGTCAGCACACTCCCAGCAAGGAAGCTTCCCAGTTAACCAGCAAAAGCTGGGATGCCAGGGCTCTTATTTCAGTGTGCACTATGCCTTCTGCCAACTCAAGCTCTCATCTCATGGTAAGAATGAGCAACAGCAGACAGAGCTACTGGCTGTAGATGCAGGGTAATGACAGACAGCTGCCAACACTTAATGAGAGCTCTGGTGATGAAGCCTTTGAGGACAAACACACAGTTAGACCATCCTGCTTGATTTTTAAAGCTGGCTCATTCTGAGTTAGATTAAGCTATGCAGAAAAAGAAAGAAGCACATGTAAACAATGGCAGTTATTCTCTAACCAACAGAGAACAGCTGCAGCAGCACAGGTTTCAGAACAGACCAGCCTCTTTGGCAAATATAGTAGCCTACACTGAATTCCATACTGCAGCAACTTTTCTGGCTTTGTGCCCAAGCTAGTCATGGAATTGTGTGGACACATCTACATGACTGCAGAAAACACAAGAAGGGGCAGATAGGATGTAACACAGAATATTTCTCCTTTATGTGCCTTCTCTTGACCCCCAGCAGTAATTCTTGTCTATATAAGCTCTTCCATTAGCTCCTGTTCTTAACAGTGCTCAATTTGTACGTCATAGAAATGAACCAGTTTGTTAATCAATTTCCATTAACTTCCTGTTTTCAGAAGAAAAGCTGCACACCTCATCCAATGTCAAGAGCAGAGGTACTGGAGGTGAGGGAAAACACCCTCTCTTCACCAATACAATAAACAGATCTTGTTCTGCTCTTCAGCTCAACCTAGGTATTTCATTTTACCTTGTTGGATCAGTCAAATTCCCACTGAGAAGGGTTTTTACCCAAAGAGATTTCAGAGACATGGAAGAACATTCTGGAATTGCAATGTTATCTCTTCCTGTCAAAACTGGACTTCTCTGCGATAATGTGCTAGCGTAACAAATGACTGGCAGGAGAACAACACACGATCCACCTCTCAAATGGGAAGCAAAGTTACTATAATTCACTGCTGTGCAAATACTGTGCTTTTTCCACAAGCTGAAGTCAGTTTGGGGTTTTGTTCAGGTACAAAAGAGCACTGGACTTACAAGAGCCCAATTCCAGTGGCAATTTTTAACAGCTAAGCAGGACTGGAGGTCACTAGGATTTAGGGGTAGGAAATTGCCTCACTTCTGCTCACCTTGTCATCAAAGCCATTGTTCGTAGCATAAATGGGTGGCTTTCCAGGGTAGCGGTAGAGAATAAAGTCTCGCCTAGGTAAGCAGAGGAAAAACAATACTCGAAAGAACACACTTTTAGTAGAACCATATTATGGAGAAGTTTGCAGGAAGCTGTTTATAGGAAAAACAAGGAGAATACTTTTCCTGATAAATGAATGCTACCATACAGCAAGAGCTAGATGAGCAAACACTCATCTTAGGGGAAAACAGTTATGTGGGAAAGATTATTACACTTAGTCACAGACTAGGTCAGGTATCTGTGCTTACAGCAGGGTGCTCAGACACCAAGGCAATTTAAGTGTCACCCTGCAAACGATTAGCGCTGCAGCACAGGGAACCAGGAACTCTTGCAAAGCTTGTTTGTTCCTTCAGTACAAGAACAGAATGAGCCTGCAAAGGGAGGGTTCTTCCTTCTACCACTGGAGAGCCAGACAGCTTGTTACAAGACAGCAGCACCTGCACAGGCTTATGTTACCTTTCACATAAGCATGAGAGCTTACACACCAAGTAGGCCCATTACTCCTCACTACTGGAGCTTTCAAGAACACCTACATGAGTTTTAGTTATGCTTATAATTACCACACAGCACTTCCACTACACATAGCTACTTGTTTGTTCCCGTTTTCTATCCTTCAGCCACTAGAAGGAAATGTTCTTTGAACATTAGCACAAAGATAATAAACATAGCTGGAAATTGACCCTCCCCTTAAATGCAGGCTATGAGAACAGGGGCTGTGGTGGCACCTGTTTACACAGTAGTTTAGCTTTGTTTGGACAGCATTTCTCAGCATGTTTCACACATTACTATCTCAGCAACAAACAAATAAAAGGTCCTGGGGCCAGAATCCAAATGCCATTAAAGTAAAAGCAAAATGAAACTTAAGGAAGAGACACTTACTTGTACACCACTGATAAGGCACTCATTTCCAGCTGGCCAGCACTTTCCTGTGCAAGATTATGAGACTACGTGAGCTAGCGGAACAGTCTTCAATACTGAGAACCTAAGTTCTCTCTTCTATGAGGATATGTAACCAAATTCATCCATTGCTTAAAACAACCAATGCATTGAGAATCGAGATATTAGTATTTCCACTTCTATGGCATACAAAAGCCTGCAACATGGGATGGGCATGAGCTGAATAAAATGGAGCTAGTTCTGGCAGCAACTCTTAATCACATCACTCAAGATGTATTTTTGTTTTAATTTAAAGCCACTACATTTGTTTCAGAGATTGCTGCATCCACCACACTTACTGGCTAAAGTCTTCATAAAAAGTCTGATCTCTAGTGTTTGAACCTGGGGACAGAGGAAGAACCAGCGGATTGCAAAGCCTGATCATCACTTGATGTGACGTACACCACACATATTTTGCCTTTTCCTTCTGAGAGAAGAACTGCAATTATGAATAAGGCCCATGAGAGGCTTCAGCTTTACTGTCCAGTCTGCACACATTGCTCCTTTGCACTAACACAAATGCACCAGTAAAATATTGATACTGATTGATATGGTTTATACATGTGAATATTCAGCACAAATTCATTGTATTACCTATGAAAATAGAACCCCAGGATTGGGGTCTATCTAAACACAAAACCCCAGATCACCAGATTTTAAGCAACCACCTGATTATTTTCCTGGTTTTGGCCCCTAAAATTTTAATCTCTTACCAAGTATTAGATCAGTCTTACCTTTGGATCTCCCAGTCGTTCAAGGTATTTCTCAAATGATCCTTCCACATACTTTTAGCAAAGAATAAAACAAATGTAAAAACTTAGCTAGTTGCAAAGCAAAGTTAAACAGAAGCTGCCCATTACTGGCTAGTGAATGGAAGGGGGCAGAACAGGGGTTGGGAGCACAGACACCAAACTGGGGATTAGTTTGCCACTTCCTATCGTCTTTGGTTTCTGAAGGGCTGTGGTCTGACTGGGGGTATGACTTCACTGCTCCCTGCATGGGGTACCAACGTGGGAATACCAAGAGAGTCTAAAGAACTTAAGAGCATAATCCTGTAAACAGGGACTCATCTGCCTCCTAAATCAGACTGAGCACTTAACTGTGATTACAAGGCAACTGGGGGGCAAAACACACACCAAAACCAAGCAAACACACACAAACCCCACCAAAATAAATACACCTAAATATCTCATTACTTTATGCAACAATTAAACACATTCTGGGGGTTTCCGCCATCTTTTGATGTTTGTTTCTTTACTCCAAAATCCTATGAATTTCCTGCCTACTGAATTCTGCTCCAGAGAGAATATACTACACCAATAACTACCACCTTACAGGTTAGTTAGGTATTAGTAACTTGATCTCAGGAGCTTCAGAATATAAACCCAAGTAAAACTTGTGCGATAGCAACTCAAGGTAAGCAAGCAAGCACGCTGCTGCTCCTGCTCTATTACGTGCACGAAACCTGGCAAAGCATGACATGTTTTCAGCGCACCTTAAACCACTCGCCACCTCCCACATCGCCCCCCGACTACACGTGCAAAGCTGCTGAACATGGACATTACTTACAGATTCAAACTGAAGCTGATGCTGCCTCATAAACGAAACACAAGCTTTCCTAACTTCTAGGTGGTGAATTTGAGTTAAAAACAGCTGGGAAAAAAAAAATCCCATAAAAGGTTGTAGAAGAATGAAAGAAAATATTAAAGTTATGCTTTCCGTTAGGCTTGTTTTACTCGTAGTTTATGGGTAACCCCACCACAACACACTGTACTGCAGGGTGCCACAGGCAGCTGTGGGAAGCAGCTCACTGGGAGCCCCAGGGTGACCGCACATCCCCTCGCACATCCCACCCACGGGGCACCCCGGAGGGGTCTCCGGCATCACCCACCACCCGCGGGCAGGCAGCAGACACGGCCCGGCGAGGAGCTGAGGCGCCGGGACCGTTACCGGAGCCGTCCCACGGCGTACCTGCTCCGAGACGGCTCGGAAGAAGCAGGAGGTGTCCTTCGCCGTCACCTTGCGGTACAGCCCCAGGCTGCCCAGGTACTTGTCCATGGCCACCTCGCTGAAGGACTTCTGCCCGAAGTACTTCTTCCAGCCCTTCTGCATCGTCGCGGGTGGCAGCGGCTGAGGCGAAGGCGGCAGCGGCTGAAGCGGCCACGGCACGCGGGAGCTCCACGCAGAGCGCTGCGCTGAGCGGCGCGTGGGGCCTCGCCGCGCGGCTGCTGCTAATGAGGGGCCGCCGCACAACGCGCCCACCTGCGCCCGGCCCGGCCGCAGCACCCCCTTCCTTGCCCGCCGCATACGGAGAGCAGCCCCGAGCACGGCCCGGTCCGGCTCCCGCATTCCCCTCCCTGCCCGCCGGCCACCGAAAGCGGCCCCGAGCGCGGGTCGGCCCCGAACGCGGCCCGGCGGCGGAGACCCCTCCGCGGCCATTTTACGGTGCCAGCCAGGAGCCCCCCGGTCCCTGCTCCGCTCTACCCTTAACGACCGGAAGGGCCGGCCGGGACCGTGGGTTCGAGTCCCTCGAACATCGATAACCCCCTACGGAGGTCATAGAATCACAGAATAAACGAGTTTGGGTTGGAAGGGACCCTCAAAGCTCATCTCGTCCAACCCCCTGCAATGAGAAAGGACATCTCCAACTAGATCAGGCTGCCCAGAACCACATCCAGCCTGGCCTGGAGTGTCTCCAGGGATGGTGCATCCACCACTTCTCCAGGCACCCTGGGCGTCTGTTTTACCACCCTCGTTGTAAAGATTTTGTGGGTTTTTTTTCCCCCTCACATCCAGCCCGAATCGCCCCTCTTTTAGTTTAAACCCATCCTAGCGCAGCAGGCCTTGCTAAAAAGTCTTTCCCCATCTTTCCTTTAGGGAACCTCTGCCTGGGAGCTTGGGAGAGAAGGGAACCCTTGCTAAGCCCTTGCCAACTGGTCATTCAAAACTGCCTGCAACATTCTTGTGTGCTCTCAGGCTGGAGCTGAGTGAGCAGTAAACTGGAAATAACACCAGCTCCATAGAAATCATGAAGTGAAAAATTCCTCTAATAAAGTGTTCAGGGAAAACTTTGCAAAAATCACTCTCGCACGACAGTGCAGCACTGTCTACTCCTCTTGTAACCCTTGTGCTTCATTTGATTGGGAACGTGATTCCATGCACATTTAACTTGCTGGTCAAAATGGCGCTAGGACATCAGATGCACTGATCCAGGAGTTAAGCAACATTCATTTAAGCAACAGCAACCAAAAAAAGAGAACCCAACAAAACCCAGCCAAGCAATGTACCTGCAGGCAGAGCTGTCAGCACCAGCTGCACACTGAGACAATTCTGGAGATTAGACACCAAACAGCCTGCGTGAACGTTTTTCAGAGTATTTACTTAAACCAATGGATGGGAGCATCAACACAGTTGACAATCTCAACACTTGAAATGGGGAGCTCCAGTCAGCATCAAACAGGAAACACCACACTCCAGAGAAGTCCAAACCAAGTAATGATGGCATAGCTGCATGAATGGATCGACTGCATTGCACAGCCAGTTCCTCTCCTATGGGCCATGCTGTATTTTGGGGGGCAGTTTGGCAGCAGATTTGCAACTCTTGACTCTTCCCACCCAGATTTACCACATACATGCCCCTTCCCTTTGAAGAGGCTTCAATTTGTGTTTCAATTCTCCATTCAGTGCTTCTGTAAACACATGAGAGCTGAAGACATCTGCTCATTTGCAGAACATCACAGGAACATCAAAAAGAACAACTTACTTCCACTAGAACTAGGAAAGTATGGTCAAGAGACAAGGACGTGCATGCCATACTGGTTAAGAAGTAATTTAGCTTGTCCTCCTCACTGCAATCACCAACTCCTGCAGATTTTATGAGGCAAATATGTGTCTGTCCAAGAAACTTGACAGTTCATACTCCCCTTCCTTGTTGGCACTCTGTTCTTTGTAGCATAGGTAACTCTGAACCCGCGCTAGACAGGAACCATTTAACATTGGTTAATGCTAACAGACATGTTGTTTGAGGGTTTGTCCCAGCTGCTGGACTCTAAGTATGGAAGACCTCACTAGGAGAGGAATAAAGGTTTAATTGTCATTTTTATTCCTCTGTATTATTTATTGAATCCCAAAAACTTGATCCAAGAACAAAGCAAACTTTTCTGGCTGTCCAGGAGGAAAAGGTTTCAAAGTTGGTAACTCCATCGACTGCAGCGTCTCCACAAGAGTGCTGTAGAAACAGACCAAAACCCGACATTAAAAAGAAATCCACTCCAAAGGGAATTTTTTTTTCTCCACACAAGTTTCTTTCTATTCATCCATACATAATCCTTTAGCATGGAAGCAAAAATAAGGAAGTGTATGTTTCAATACACTTTGTTTCAAGACCCCCACAAAGCAGTGGGCCCCAGCGCTCACTGCTCACAGACAGCACTGCTGAGAACACGCTTCAATCTGTCACAAACAATCTCAGCTCTTTACTTTCTTATCTCTGGCTGCAATGTTGGGTGACTCAACAAGACCTGAGGACCTTCACCATAAACCATCCCAGGATACCCATCCTAGCTGAACACACGGCATAGTTCTCCACTTAACACATAGCCAGAAGAACAGTTAAATCAATCTGTTTGCTTGGTTTTGTCAGGCTGCAAATAAAGACTCTGATGCCAGGCACTGCTCAACAAAAATTCCATCCTGTCTCCAAAGCTGTCAGAAGCACTGAGATAATAAGGTAAGGGACTTGCCCAACAGAAGTGAGTGACAGGCCTCGTGTTTTAAGAAAGCTCTCCCAAAACATGAAATCCCATTTGCAGGGCAAAGGAGTAAGATACAGACTAAGGAACAGGAGTTACACTTCCTCTGCCTTCAACTTAGGGGTCAGCTGTTATTTATAGAGTGCAATCAATCATAAAGAATCATAAAGAGAAAACAGTAACATACAGTCAAAACAAGAGATCAAATGAATCTAACAGGAGCTAGGATAAACAAATAAAAGGAGCTGGCTGTTTTGGTGGTGTCATTGGGGGGGGGGGGGGGGCTGTGTTTTGGCAGTGGTACTTCTCTGGGAGGTTGGCTGCTTGGTGGTTTGTTCTGGGGTTTTGTAGTGTTTTGTTTTGTTCCCCTGAAGTGACAGGCAGCAATCTGTGAAACTCCTTGTCAGAGGATGTGGTGCATTCAGGAAGTTTGGTTGAAAAGGCAGCCCAAGAAGGTACTTGGAAAAAGGAGATATTGAAAGTTATTAACCAGACAGCATCTGTATAGGAATCCCCCCTCAATCAAAGCACTTAAGAGCATGAGAGGGAATCTAACCCAAGGAAGTACCTTATGCTTGTGCCCCGTTTCTACTTTAGGCTGGACATCTGCATATGGCTACTGCAATGAGGATACTGAACTACATGGACTCCTGATCCATACCAGTGAGGCCAATTTCATGTTTTATTTTAAACACTCCAAATCCTTTCAACTTGATGATGTCAAGTCAACTTTAGTGCCCTTTATAAGGAAAATCCAAACAGGAAAATGATGAAATGGGAGTCCTAAGTCTGCAGGGAACAATTTAGTCCTTAGAGTTCATGGTTACAAACCAATGGTCTGGGTTGTATTGTTTCTGGACTTCCAAAAAGAATCCAACACCTGCTAAGAGCAGAGAAAGAGTGAACCTACTGGGTGCCTCGAGGATGCTACCTGACTGTTCCAAATTCAGTCACTTCTGTTGGCTTTAAACTGCTCTTCTTTCAATCTGAATACATGTGCCCTTGAAGAAAAATAAAAGATTTAAAAGGAGCCGTGGTCAAAAAGCATGGCTGTTGGTGAATTGGAACCGATCCACTGCGGGAAATCTACCTTGCAAACAAATGGCTGTTACAGAGAAGGATGCAGATTTCCCTGCCACATTCTCAGTGCTGTAAGCCAGTGCCGATGCTGAACCCTCCTTGTTCAGCTAGGACAGCCATAGCAGCTCCATACCTGCAGTTACAGTAGAGGACATGCCCATCTTTGTGGAGCTGTTTCGCCAGTTCAAGCTGATGGTTGTTCATCAGCTTCTCATTTATTACTACTATTAGTGGTTTTCCTTTTTCTAGAGTCTCCAGACAGCTACCTGCGCCTAGAGGAGAAACAGAAAACACGCTGAGTTTCTGCCCTGATACATGAAATATCTCCCTGTTCGCTCTTGCAGCACAGGGGACTCCCGACGGTGAACATTTAACCACTCATCTCAGGTGTGGGCATGAACTCACTGCCAGCCCACCCTGAGCTGTTGAGGAACAGACTTCATCCAACCGACTTCCACTCGTGCCCGAGGAGAACAGGCTCGGCAAGCAGCCGGGGCTCTACCTGCGTGGCTGATGACCAGGTCCGCCCTCCGCAGGTCCTCAGCCAGAGACTCCTTGTAGCGGAAGGCTTCCACTTCCACGGCCACGTCCGGGCCGCCGAGCAGCGCCGGGTCCAGCGCGCACCGCCCCACCTGCAGCACCAGCTTCCCGTAGCCAAGGCTCTGCAGCACCTGCGGCGGAAGGGCGGCAGAATGGCGGCTTGCGTGTACCTAGGTCGGGCACCGAGGCCACGGCTACCCTCTGCCTCCGTACCACACACCGTGGCCCTCACGCTCCCCGCAACTCAACCGCTCCCCGCGCCGCGTCAGACAGGCGCTGGCGGGAATGGGGAGGGCGGAGCAGCTCGCAGCGCGCAGGCGCGCGGTTGAAGCGGCGGGGCAGGCCGTGCGGCGGGCGCGGCGGGGCGGGCTCACCTGCAGCGCGGGCGGGGAGCAGACGGCCGCGATCAGGTCATCGAAGCTGGTGGTACCCACGGTGACGAGAACTAACTTCATGGCCGGCGGCCCCAGCGCCGAGCGGGTCTGCGCGCGGGGACCCGCCAGAGGGCGCCGTGCACCGCCCGCTCCGCCCTGCCCGCCCCAAAATGGCGGCCAGGCTGAGGGCGCCACGGGGACACGCCCTCTTCTCCTCACGGCCCCGCTCTCTCCGCCCAGCGACCGGGGGACGGGGCAGGGTTGGGATCGGCGTCTCGGTCCTCCTGCTGAGGCAGAGAAAGCGCGAAAGGATCGTGGTAACGGAGCGCTCACTCGTGCTTAGGAGATTGGTGTTTCTGAGCCGTTGCCTGAAGCGGTTGAACAGTGGGTCCTGCAATGGCGGCCCAGGGCCTGACACATCCCCTTGAGCATTGTGCCTCTCTGGGACACACCGCTCGTGGTGAGAGCATCGGCTGGGGACTTGTAGCGTTGCAGAGCAAAGGCAGGGGGATACAAACCTGCCTTCAGATGAGTGGAGGCAGGAGAAGATGGTATCAGTTTCTGCCAGCGAGTGAGCTTGGGGGGGTTTCTCCTTCCATTGATGCCACAGGGACTGGTGAAGGTGGGAAACAGAAGGGAAAAAGACATAGTTTGAACTCTGCATTCTGTGTTTTTGTTAGACAGCTTCAGTAATTCTGGCTATGTAGGTGTCCTGTGCCCACTCCCCCAGAAATGATGCAAACCCATAGAAACTGCTCTCTGCTGACTTACTTGATTCCAAGAGGTCGGACATAAGAGTTGAGCGGTCTGAATGGATGAACCTGTCACAGGAGCTGAGACTGCAACTCAAGGAAAACCCTGGAATCCTTTTCAGATCCTCCGGGTTTCTTTCCCTCACTTCGCCAGTGACCAGTGTTAGCTCCTTGGGGAGCTGCTCATCTTCTGTGCCTCCAGCTACAAGGCAGTGCTATGAAAAGCTTTTCGTGGAGGCAATCATGTGCAGACGTTGAGTGTTCTAAAAGCCTTCAATGCAGCAGTGTCTGAAAACACTGAAGAGGGGTTTTTTTGCCTTCTTCCCTTGGCCTTCTGAAAGACACATTCTGAGTATCACTGAATACAAGTAGGTTTCTCCTCCTCCCTATTGCCCTTTAAGCACACATCTTTCTGATGCTGTTTCAGGGCAGTCTTCCTGCCTTCTTAAGAGGTCTGAGGAGACTGCTTCCTTGAGCAAAGGTATGTCAGCTTCCTGTGGAATGTGATCCTCAGAGCCAAGGGACAGTGAATCAGGCAGGAGCTGAGGCTGGAGGTGAAGGCCACTTCTGAAATATAAAAATGCTGTTTAAACCACATTAACTTCATTGCGAAGATGAAGTCATCAGTAAATTTATTGTTTCAGGTACATTTCCCTTTTGTGATGAAAACCAGGGGGAAGTAGGAGAGGGACAACATTCTGGGTTCCAGATAATCCAAACATTAACTCTGTTAGCACAGTCCTGTCCACTGAAGACTAAGACTAACCCCTCAGCAGTTCCACAAAATGAACTAGCAGGGCTTTGTTATTAATTGCAAGTGTAACACAATGTACAATTCTACAGAAAGAAACTACTCAGACATATAAATCTATTTGTTTCCTGAATTAAATTTAATAGATGAGGCCACATCTGTATAATGCTACTGAGTGTTCCAAGAAAGATGTAGGAAAGATGTAGCTATCTTGAGGATAGCACTGATTGCCATGTTAATGGCTCATTCACAATGCTCATTAGCCCCCCGTTGCTTTCATTTAGCATAATGAGCCACACTGAAATGAATTTATATTTTTATTCAAGCAAATGGTGCTGACAGCAGACATGGGCAGGGGGAGGGTGGTACTTTATCTTGGGAAACAGGCTGTAGAGCGAAACAATATCAGAGTCCTGAGTGCACAGGGTGGCCCTGACCAGCCTCATCCAGCTCTTACTGCTGTCCCTCAGGACAAGGAAGCCAGGAGCTGAGGGTGACCAAAACACAAGCCAGGCAAACACCTCTCCAACAGAGCACAGCCTGACCCTCACCAGAGAAAAGCAAGCAGAGCAGAGGCAGCAACAGGTCCAGCAGTCCCGCGACCATCAGGCAAACACAAGGTAACGTGCTATTTGCATGATCAATCCAGGAAACCCAAACAGCAATTCAGGAACAGAATTAGCAGCAAGGACACCTACAACTTACCTCTGTCATCCCAGCATAAGATACAGACCTGCTTAAGCGGGTCAGGAGGAGGGCCACAAAGATAGCATCTTCCCTAGGAGGATAGGCTGAGAGAGCTGGGGTTGTTCAGTCTGGGGAAGAGAATGCTCCCAGGAAGAGAATGCTCCCAGGAGACCTTAGAGCAGCTTCCAGTGCCTAAAGGGGCCCACAGGAAAAGATGGGGAAGAACTCTTTTAACAGAGAGTATAATAGGATGAGGGATAAGGGTTTTAAACTGAAAGAGGGCAGATTTGGATTAGATATTAAGAATAAATTCTCTACTATTGAGGGTGATGCATTGGCAGAGGTTGCCCAGAGAAGCTGTGGCTGCCCCATCCTTGGCAGTGTTTAAGACCAGCTTGGACAGGGTTTGGAGCAGCCTGGGGTAGTGGAAGGTGTCCTTGCCCATGGCAGAGGGTTGGAACTGGATGAGCTTTATTAGTGCGGTCAAGATCCTGACAATTGATGGCAGGAAGTCAGATTTTGGGCTGAAAGGAAAGATGATAAATTTTTCATGGTTTATCAGAGATGTGGGTCAGGACATTCGTAAAACTTTGTCATAAAAGGTTAAGTTCAGGATAATTATATGATTGCAATTTATTAAGAGATAGAATTTAAATACATTGGAGTGTTTTCCTGTTTATGTAATTATTTTATAGTAGGTTAATTACAGTAGTTTAGGAAATTACTGCTCATTTGTATCTAAAGCACTGTAAATAACCAAATGCATGCTCTTACTCTGCCCAAATTGAAAAAAACCCTCACCATCATGATACACCCACACATTGATTCTGCAGTTAGAACAGGAATCTATAGTTCAGATTTCTTAATCAAAAACGTCGAGGAGTGAGCGAGTGAGCACCTGTCAACAGGGAGTCTTTACACTGAATCCCTTTTCAATCTCCTTGTGGAAGATGTTATATACAGTGTTGTTTGAAATAAGGGTTAATATAGCTATTTTTACAATACATTGTGTACAGATTCATGTACAACAATCATCAGGTTTTGCATTTGATTATTTTCATTTTTTTTTTATGTATGAATGCTGAATTTCACTTCTACAGGACCCTGTTTTGCTCACTTGCTTTCTAGAAATTACTGGAATTATTTCTGTGGTATGGAGCAGGTCTGTGTGATTCCAGCTTGGTATTTTCCATGTGTCACTGAAAGTCAGTATCCTCTGCAGCTTGTATTCCCAGCATTACGCTGGGTAGGGACTAGAAGAAAATACTCAAAAGTAACATTGCAGTGACTTAAATTTGCTTTGTTTTTAGTGGAGGATGCATCCCATTTGCACATGGAGTTAGGCTTGTCAGGATGATTTCAAAGTAAAGAGAAAAGGGAAAGCCATCCATTACAGGACTCGATCTCATGGTAATTTGTGCCTGCTATTTTCATTAAAAGTTGTGTAGGGTACAGTTTTGTCCATGAGCACTTATTCTCTGGTCCATGAGAAGTACAGATCATTTGCAGAATGAGATACTTGGAGCTGATCCCTTATGGCTTTAAGGCAGTTTGCCTTTGGGGCAGACCTTGGGTGAACATATCCCTGCTTGTGTTGGCGAGTCTCTTTCCAATGCCAGTTGTTTTAACTCCAGGATATGTGTGTGAGATACTATGAGGGGCATTCAAGAGATATGGGCTCAATCTGACATAATGTAGTCCAAGACACCAGAGAGAGGGCTAAAATGGAATATACATTCTTGTGAGAGATTGCTCCCATCTGTGCTTTATATGGCATAATTTATATTCTAATGTGTTCTTCCCATGACAACATCTGAGCAAAAAACTGAAGATGGCAGGAGTGCAAGCTGGTTTTTTTAAAGTGAGAAATGATGTGTGCCTCCTCCTTTCTCCTTGGCTTCTATTTGAAATGTTTCTGGATGGCTCAGTTTTGAGCACTGTCAGTTTGTATTCAGCTCAGCTTGCCAAAGTTTGCCCTGAAAGCTCCATAATTATATTATTCAGGAGTGAGAAAATGCACGAAAGTAAACCAGTCAGTTCACATCTTGGTGTCTGAAAACTACGTTCTGCCCTCAGTTTGCTCTTGAACTCTGAAGACTAACTCATAACTGGTGCACTAAAACTCTGATGACTCCTGAAACGCACAGGCTGGAGACAAGGTATCACATAATGAACCATACTGAATCATTAAAACATACACACCAACAGAAAGGCAGGTAAAGCTCAAAGCCTACAAAGTCTGATTTTCTTTGAATCTGAATCAAAAACCCAATGACTAGTTAGTTAAACATACAACCCTGTCTTTCTTTTACCCTGTATTTTGTGCACAGATTGATTCTCCATTTGGCTTGTGATATAATGGTGCAGTGGCTGACGTGAGGCACAAGGGAGCTATTAGATTTCTCCACACTAAATTTACATTAAGCTTCAGTACTTTTTGTATGTTTATGAATGTGAAAAAGGAGTAAAGATAGTCTTACTTCTATTTCTAGTTGGCTTTATATAAATTTGAACTGAAAAAATGTTCACTTCCTTTACATTTGTCATTCAGATGTATTGCTGTACCTATGAGGGGTATTTCTGTTACTATAGGGAACTGTGAAAATTAGATGGAGAACATTCTGGGGAATGATTCCTTTATATTATCATGATTCAGAGATGCTTGGTCTGGGAAAATAACAGAGGAACATTTGTCAGGTGAATTTAAATAGTACACTGAAGTATTTCATCACAACGTTTCTACATCTTTTGACTTGTCTCTTTGTGGGCTTGTTATTTGTCAGCAAGGATTGTCAGATCGCTTGCAGAGAGGCTCAGACTGACTGGACAGTGAAGGGGATGTTAGGTCACCTCTTCCTCAGGGCTGACTGGCAAAAGACAGGTGCTGATGCAGCACAGAGGAACTGTGTCCACTGACTAAATATCTTACATTAGAAGTGGAAGGGAGGCTTTGGCTTTGTTAGAA